TAGTGTATATATCTTGGTTAAAATTATAGTTATATATATTAGTAATGAATTGTATCTTGAATAAACTATAGTAACATTTCTTTGAATCATAATTAGTACTTAAATTTTTTGTGATACTATCTAAAAAAAGTCTGTTTCAAAAATATTACTCAAAACAGTATTTGCTTGATCAATTTTGGATGAAAATAATGCACTAAAATTTCAAACAGCATTTTAATCTAATTACAATTTTTGTTTAATTTATTAGCCAAAACTATTTCATCTAGCTTTTCAAAAAACAATATTCTGTTATGAAGAGTCTTAAATACTGTATGGACTTTTTATTCTTGTCTAGATTCTCTATAAAACAAATGGTCTTAAATAAGAAGTCATTTTGCATTTGTCTTGGTCATTATGCATTTTAATGAATGCAACAAGACATCCTTAACCTTTGTTCCTATTGCAAAAGAAAAAAAAATTGATGATTAAAATGAAATATTGTTAGCAGAACTTCCTTGTATGTATGTCAAGTGTACACTGATATACTTTTTCCTGCCTTAGTTTCACATCTAAGCACCAATCTTTGCATTAACCAACAAGGGTGGTGCCATCAATTCTAAGAACCACTAAGTGAGCTACTGATATTTTATTCTTTTGTCAGTATTGCTGATTTTATCTGTACAAAACTGACCACTATAGAAAAGGACAATTTTTAACAACCTAGTGTGTAGAACTTCAGTACCAGTGTTATTTTGGTTATTATATATACTTTTTCCTCCAAAACTGTTCTTGATATGTAACAATTTATATCTCATTATCCTATATATATATATATATATATATATATATATATATATATATATATATATATATATATATATATATATATATATATATATAGGTACCACTAAAATTCACTAAAATGAGCATACATGATGAAAAAAAAGGCCTAAACTTAATAAAATCAAAGCAAAATCAAACAGCAAAATCTTTGTTATTAAGAGGAAAGACCAAAGGATTTTTTGATTATTCATTTATATTTTTTAATCCTTTTAGAATCTTCAGAATTTTGGTTAAAGATTTTTTTCTTGTGACTATAAATTAGTATAGAAAATTCTAGCATTTTTTTGCAGTAAAAAACATTAATTTTGAAATTCTTGCAAAAATCAAATAATTGCTGAGAAAAATATAGTTAAATTTCACAAACATTCTGTCAACACCTCATAACAACACCCATCTCCTTGTTAAAAAAAATATTTTCTGCAATATTTAAAACTAAATGTAATACTTGTTTTAAATCAGCTAATCTTCCTCAAAATAAAGTTTCAGAAAAGTATATTTTATTTTTGAAAGATTTTTTAATAAAGAGAATTAAGTTTGGCTGTGATAATTGTAAATATTGCTAAAATCAGTAATTTTTAGAAATTAAATATTCCACTCAATTTAAATTTGTTTTGAAACACAGTAAAGTATTAGGCTTATTGGAAATATTAAATTTAATCTATTAGCTTGAAATTAAAACTAAACTAAAAGGTTCAAGAAAGATTTTCATTTTGAAAAATTAATTTTAAGTTGTGTTTCTTTGGCGGTACCTATATATATATATATATATATATATATATATATATATATAAATAAATACATATACCTACATTTCATGTGTGACTCAAATTTTGTTGTTTACCCAATTCATCAGGCACAAGCTTTTGCCCGATGGATTGGGTGAACAACAAAATTTGAGTCGCACATCAAACATAGATATATGTGTATTTATTAACATATATTTCTTTGCTATCACATTAAGCACTATTATGTCTACATCACTTGGCTAAATTTGATAATTATTTATTTGCTTACTAGCATATGCATACATGTATACAGTCACTAATACCTAGTTATCTCATTACCTAACCCTATACCTATGTGTGTGTGTGTGTGTGTTACTCCTAGCAAATGATGGCTGCCTTCTCATTAACAACCATGACCATTACACATCTCACAAAGATCTATCAGTGCCACACATGGACAACCTGACTTTTAAGCCCAGTCAATGTTTGGCATTTCTTTTCCACACACAACATTAGGTAGATTTTCTGGAGTGTCTGTAATACTGTTGTGATTCATTATAATAGTCATGCCCCCTAAGGCTTCAGCCACCCATATGTGCCACACAGAAAAATCCCCTAAAACATTGTGTCATGCCTGTGAAGAAAGGGTCAATACCATTTTCTGAGGAAGACTAGCAATGATCCGAAAAGAAGAGGGCATCAACATCATCGGTTACTAGTTTGCCACAGGTGTTATATGTTGTTGGAACATCTCCCTAGGATTTTTCCTTCTTCTAGAGAGATGTCCCAACAAGGATTATAGGATTTCTCTCTCTCTCTTACAATGGTTCTTATCGGTGGCATTGGCATGCAAGTGAGTGATGTCTATCTGCCGGCTGCATGTATACACACACACACACACACACACATATATGGAATGGATTTTTATATTAAGCTGACATTTTTTTAAAAAATAATCTTTAATAAGATTTCATGAACATTCAGGCCTGTAGATGAAAATAAATAAATATATTGTTTACTAAACAAATCATGCATCTACTCAAATATGATTATCCACTAAATATAACATTTAAAGTTGTGTGTGTGTGTGTGTGTGTGTGTGTGTAAACAAAACAAAACAAAACCAGGGACAAAACCTTGAAAATGGTTGTAGAAGTGGTCGAAAGTGACTGGTACAATAAAAATTATGGAACATATTTGTACTCTCTTACTCTTAATTTAAGGATACTGGAAAAAATTTCAAAAAATTAATTAAATCTTCATTGGCTGCTATATTTAATGAAAAATGTTTGAAAGAAAGGTTGCTGCCCAAATATAAATATATATATATATATATACATACACATACATATACATGGGGTGCCAATGAGTAATCTTTATTTCTGAAAGAGACACACATGCACATATAGATATATTATACACGCGCACATACACAATTTTATATATACATGCCTTTATTTTACACCATGTCTTGGTATGCTTAGTAAATAACAAGTGTAAGTGATAGAGAAGGTTAAAAACTGAGTTTTGGAGTTTTATCCTAAATATTGGTTATGATTTTTACCAAAGTTTGTATTACATGAATCTTCAAAGCAAAGGAAGATATGCCATTCTAGAAAATAAGCTTATGAAATTTTAACTTTCTGCTGAATTTGAATGCCAACCTCTTGCCACATTAGAAAATATCTCGTTCATAATATAGTCTCATTCAAAATCTTGGATATGCGTATAAGGGAAAGAAGTATATCGCTAGAAATTGATTCAGAGACTTCTAACTTGTAGTGACTTACATTAAAAGCAGTTTACAAAAACATTTGCAGCCACCTTATTGTCTTACTCATACTAAACTGATAATATTTGGAACAAGGAATTAACTAGTTTTTGAATATGAAGTTAAATCCTGTTGATTCCAGGAAATTAGTCTAATACTATTAAGAAATTTCTTTACAAGTTTTATATCTTGTAATTCTCTACAGATTAGAAAAATGTTAGAAATTCTATTAAAAGAACTCATTTTCTTAGCTGAATTATAACTATGCATACCTGAATGCAGTTTGTAATAATTTGTAAAATATCCTTGAGCTCTACTTAGTCACTATAGATAAGTGTACCAGGCCAAAAATAAGTAACCTAGTCCCATAGACAACTACGGATGTAGACTGTTTGATCCTTACTGGATGACCATATGCCATAATAAACTGAGATTAGTAAATATCAATAAGGCCACCTCACCATAGAGCAATGTTTAGCAATCTAGTCTCACAAACTATTACTACTATAGTGAGTTTGATCCTCACTGGATGCCCTATTAATCTGACCTTGTGCCATAATAAACTGAGCTTAGCAAATATCAATAAGGGTACCTTACCATAGAGCAATGTTTAGCAATCTAGTCTCACAGATCATTACTACTGTAGTGAGTTTGATCCTCACTGGATGCCCTATTACTCTGGCCTTGTGCCATAATAAACTGAGCTCAGTAAATATCAATAAGGACACCTCACTGTAGAGGTATGGTTAGCAATCTAGTCTAACAGACCATTACTACTGTAGTGAGTTTGATTCATATTCTGTGAAGTTTGTGTTGTGACAGAGTAAGTCTCATCTTGTCCTTTTTTCTTTTTAAAAATATTTTTATTTAGAAATATATGTGCATGCATATTGGCCATGGCACAGACTTAAAATAAGTTGTTTTTTCTGTGTTTCTGTAGAATTAAATTAAAATCATTAGTTCTGTTTCATCTTCAGGCGAATTTTGGAATAACTTATTTTTAAATTTACTGAGTTTTAAATGCACATACAATTCATAATTTTTTGTTTCCAAGGATACAGAGAAATCCAATCATTTAGACAGGGGTGATAGCGTGTTCATTTTTATTAACTCTTATTGTATTAATTATGAGTTACGTTCTAAAAAGAGGTTAAGTCTAGATAGTGTAGGGGTGCATTTTTCAACGAATTTTGACATATATACTTATATTTTGATATATATACTTATATTTTGATATATATACTCACACACACACACACACAAAAGAAAAAAAACTTGATCGAGTTTGTTATGCATAATTAAGTGTTTGCAATTATAAATGATTAATTATTACAAGGAAGGAGTGGCCAATGAAACAACCTAGGACATTATGTCCAAAATCATAATTATCAGTAATGATCCGAACATTAGAGTTTTTATTATACCATTAGTTAACAGTCATTGTATGGGATCATTTTTAAATTATTTGATGATGATAATAACTATGTTGACAAATGTTGTGCAGAGAGAATGTTGGATCCCTTTTGGATTTTTTTTAAACATGTTGACTGTTTTAAAATTAGAAAAGAAAAATATTTTTAAGTTTGTTTCTAAAAGTTTACAGTTAAATTTGCAATATTTGATAAGTAAGTGTAACTTAATTTGAAATTAGTAAGAGGATATTATTGGTTATGGATATTTTTTTATAGATAGATATGAATAGATATTAACAGATAGATATGGATAGATAGATATGAACAGATAGATAGATAGATAGAACAGGCTGACAGAGATATTGATGTGTGAGCAAAGTTTTAAATTGATGCATCAATTTTTTTGTATAATGCACAAAATTTACTATTGCTACTAAAAGAGTATTGTTGTTACTAGCAGTAGTTTTACTAGAGACTGCTTGTATCTGAACTTATTTTTGTGTATCTATTTTAAAAGATTTCGAGTTGTTGCATTGCATTTGGTCCGTCATTGCATGTGGTGGGGCTGTCTTCGTTATGCTTGTATGTTTAAGTTCATTGTGGCTGTGGTCTGGTAGCAGTATTGTCAGCCTATAAGATATGTGTGTGCCTCCTTTTTTTCAGCTTAAAAAGCTCCCTGACTGACTGTGACTGATCATCAGGTCACCTATCCACACATCTGCCTCTATTTCTATCTATTTATCTATATCACACACATACACACGCACACTTGATTCAATATCACCTTTACTGGCTATGTCATGATGTCAGGGATGAAATAGGGGTTGAGTTTTTTCTATTTTATGTGAACATGTGTGCACGTGTGTGTACATGTATATATATATATATTTATATATTGGTGTGCACATGCATATAAGAAAGGGTGTCTGTCTCTTTTGTGTGTGTGTGTGTGTGTATATATATATATATATATATATATATATATATATATATATATATATATATATAATCACACTCAATCATTGCCCTTGCTAATGTTTGGGGTTTGAAGCATCTTGCCTCTTATGACCTCATAGGGTCATGTCTTTCTTGCTGTTTTTCCGGTTGCTGTGTAGTTTATACTGCTTAAATACTTTTTTTTTTTTTATCTTCAAGTCAAAAAGAAATTAGTCTAAAAAAGAAACCAATTTATGTGTAACTCTTTATCTTCAATTATGTGTATGAAGGTGAGAAAAAAAGGATGCTTAGAGCTAAAAATAATAAATAGAAATACTCCTAAATTTAAACAATACATTTCCTCCAACTATTTTCTTTTTTCCACTTTTTAAATCAACATTTGATATCCTTTTTTCTTTCAAATTGTATTAAGTTCTTTGTTTTTTTTTAACAAATACTACAAATATATAAATTATATTAATTATTAAAATTAATTAATGAAATAATTTTAAGTACCACCAAAATAAAACAAAAATTGCTAGCTACTGTTTTAAAATATTTGCCAAAAATCGGGGAATTATCTAATTCAAACTAAATTTTCAGTACTTATTCATTAATTAATGCATTGTATACTGAATAGGGTATTTTATTAGAAAACTTGTGGATATAATTTTGTGGGATCTGTTTCACACCCCCTTTCAATATCTCAAGTACTTTTTAATTTAGAAGATTTTATACGTTCTTTTAGTTATATAAAAAATCCCTGAAGATGTTATTTCAGTAAAAAAAAAATAATGCAACCTTTAAATGTGAATATATGGAAAATGTGCCCGAAACCTTACTAAAAATAATTCAATAAAACTCAAAAAATAATTTTTATTGAGAATTAGTGCTTCCATAAATTAATTAAGTGCTTTATTTTCTTTCAGATTGCACAGGAAAAACTATCTATACCTTAATATTTATTTTAAAAAAAATCACTTGTAATTCTTCAGTGCAATTTTGAAATCCACCCCCATTGCTATTGTTAAGTATTTTTCTATTATTAAATAAAGACATGAAGAATTGGAAAATGTAGACTTAAATGACATTTTTGATTGTAAACTGCTTTATAAAAAAAAAAAATTTTTTTTCACTTTAGTAACTGTTAGATAATTTTTTGTATGGATGTTCAAAAAAGAAATAATTCTGAATTATTGCCTTTCATTGACTACTTTTCCTTATTGGAAGAGTAATACTCTTAAATTCAGAATAATTATAAAACATCACATTGGATACAATTAGATATTTTATGACATCAAACAGGTAAGAAAATAATTAAAAAAAATATATTAAAATCAAAAGCATCAATTAATTAAAAAAAAACTATAATGTATAAAAAAAAATTTCATTCTACTAAGTTTCATAAAATCATATAGAATAAAAAATTATGTTCTTAAATATTGATTATATTAGGTAAATTTATTTTTAAAAATAATTTCTTAATTATTGCACTGCTGGTGCGCCTCATTTTTCTTTTTGTGCACACATTTTAAGAGAGGAATTTAAAGAGATATTTATAATTGACTTTTGACCTCACATATTACCATGCATAAATAAACTTCTGTTTTATGTTTTAAGCAAATTGTAAGCATTACATTTACAAAATCCAGTTAATTAATCCTGAAATTTACTGAGTTGGAAACCTATCTCTAGGAAAAATATTGGATTTTTAAGAGATTTTTAAATTTGCTGTTTACATTTTCCATCTATAATGGCAGTTCAGTGAGTGACAAATGAATGTACCAATGTTTTAAAAATGCCTAAAATCTTTATTTACATTCGGAAATTAATTATACTTCTAATATGGATTGATTTTAGGCTATAAAAACCAAAATGTAAGTTAAAAAAGGGCATTTAAATTATTTAAAATGTATTTTTATGTGTTTTTAGGAAGTCCATATCAGTATCTATATAATGCAATTTAAGAGTAAACATGATTTGAAAAAAAAACAAAAAAACAAACGTGGAATAAAGATCTATGTATTATATAAGATTATAAAGTCTATTGCAGAGAAACTAAAATAGATATTACTGCATAAAAAATTAAATAAAGAAAAAGATTATATAACAAAAAATAACTAAAGACTATGCAACAAAATGGAAATTTGTATATTCGCAAAAGAATAAAACAAATCCAATCAAAGTGTTTCATATTATTTAAGCAATATAAAATTCAACTATATGTATCTTTATTGATCTAAAAATAAATCATCTTATATTTTATCAAGAATCAGGTATTGTTAATAGTTAAAGTACCTGAGGACTTGGTAACATAGCTGAATTCTGAAAAGTAATTCTACATGAATTTTCATTTGATGTTGAAATAAATATATAACTAAGACTAAAAATTGTCTATTTTACATTCTTCTTTACAGTTATTTTTCAAATTTGTTATTGTCTTTTTCACTTAACATTCCTCCCAAAATACCAATTTTCTCACCATATATATGTCCACTTGCTATTGATGTCCAAAAAGCAGAAACCTTAGATGTCGCTTCTAATATCAAAAACACAAAATTCATAGTTTTACCCTCAACATTCTATCAACAAAATTTGAAAATAGATTAATTATCCCTAACCCAGGGTGTTTACAACCATCTCCAAGGCAATTAAAGATATAGTTAGGAAGAAAAATAGATCCAACACCACTTCAGATCCCTGGATTTATGTAATAAAGTGCCTGAAATGTAGAAAGTTACATTGGTGACACATCAAGGAATCAAAAATTGTACATCTATGAACATAAGTGAGACTATGTTAGGATAACCTCTTAAACATGCTTATAACACATAGGAACAAAATTGGCCATAACTTTGATTTTATAAATGCCACCCTAATTAAAAAGTTAACATATTTCTTTAAGTTGGAAAAACTTTGAGGGGATTCTGATAAATCTCTTACCATCTATAAACACATATTAAATACTATATTACATCAGCAACTTTTATAAAAATTCATACTTAATCTAAAATATGCTTACTTACACTCACCATGACAATATTACATAAAAACATCAAATCAACTTGCATGCAAACACCATGCATAAATAAAAATGCCTACTAGAGATGTACACACATTTATAAACAAATATACTTTATCATCTGAATCCCAAATATACAAACAAGAATCATGATGCATTTGCATAAATTTATGCATAAATGCTGTTTTACAAGACAAACTGCATGTGAAATCGGTTTAACTAATGTAATACACACAAAATAAAAAAAATTTTCTCCAAATCTCATTCTCTGATGAAGCTCTAATTAAGATTAAACATGTTAGATTTATAAACATTTCCTATTTGTTCCTTATCTTATCATTCTGTCTGATTCCAATCCATATTTGACCTATATTTGATCCCAATTCATATATATATATATATATATATATATATATATATATATATATATATATATATATATATATATATATGCATATATCTTCATTCAAAATATTACTTTGAATAATATAGACATATTGTGTTTATTTTTTATATTGATCATTTCCAATCTAATCAGTTTCTTGATATTTTCTGATGCTAACCTCTAGGAAAGTGTCTTGTTGTGCCTTCTTGAAGTGGAAAGACTATATTGAATCCATTACTAGTTCAACTGCCAGGAAGGTTGGTTCACTGTGTTGTTCTAGATGGTTGTTCTCTATAATGTTTATCTTATACATCTATAAGTCTACCATTCATCCATGTTTAGATGATTGCTGCCATATATGGTCCAGTGGTGCACCTGCTATTTACCTTGATAAAATCCAAAGAAGAATCAGCAATATTATCAGTCCTGATCTGGTGTCTCAGCTTCAATCATATTCCCACTGTCGTAAGGTTGCCTCTTTGTGTCTTTTTCTATAAATACTTTCATGGTAATTGTTCAGATGAGCTCTTCACTTTGGTACCTAGACTTTTTGAATTTAAGCACAGTACTAGATTGGCATCAAGAGCTCATCAATTTATAGTTAAGCTGGCTAGATGTAGCTATAAGTTTTATGCTAAGTTTCTTTTCTTGTACTTCTCTTGTGTAAATCTTTTACTTTGCAGCAAACTTCAATCTGCAACAATTTAAATGCAATGTCAATAGCTATCTACTGTTCTGATTATTTTTTTCTCTTTCCACTCATTATTGTTTCTGTTCCTAATTCTTCCACACCCTCTAACCCTTGTGTCTTTGTGGCTTTCCTGTCTTGCATAGGGTGATACCGATTAAAGAAAAAAGAAAAATTTAAAAAATGAATTCATTTATATATTTCAATTTCTCCCCTTCATTTTTATTAAATTTAATGATAATTGTAAATATAAGTCACATAAATATAATGGTATATATAATTGTTTGATATAATTAGTGAAATTTAAATGTGAGGAAAA